GGGTATATTAAATGGAATGGCCCTATACCTTTTTACAAGCCTAGTTACAACGGAAATATAGTTAAAATAATACTGCTGAGAAAATATAACGTGATCTTTAAGTAAAGATGCTGGGGTTAGTGGCAAAAAGAAACGTTTGTATTGCCAAAACAAATGACCAACAAGGCTAAAAACGTCTGCAACACGAAAATCATGAGAAATTGTTGATGAAATAAGACTACAACTCATTGAGATATAAATGTAACCTTCATTTTTGCTGGTTTTACCAGTAGAATGCTTTGTCACTGTGGCGTCTGAGGAGGGCGATAGCATGCAACAACGTCTGATAACTAACTTCTCTTAGGCCAAAAAAATGTAGGTTTCCTATTTCTTTGTGTAAAAACTTAGGGTAGGTCTGTTTGGAGGGGGGTAATGGGGGGGGGGGGTACCGATCCTGAAGCACGAAAAATAATATGCAGCGATCTTGAAGCATGAAAAATAAAAGAAGGAAGTCCTGAAGCACGTAAAATAAATTTATTACAAATCTGAAATGTAAAGTGAACATGAAATGTAAGCAACAATCATACTTAGAAGTCTTAAAGGTGAATATAAACAGTCTGTACTAGGCGGTGTGTTCACCTATTTGTTTACAATTGCGTCGATGTTCATGATTTATATAAACTTTGAAACCTCCGTTCCCCAATCAAAACATAGCTAAAATCCAGAAACAAAATTAATGGAATATATTGTCCAGAAACGAGAAATAACCGTCTTTAAATACTAGCTGAAAACGGAGAACGGATATTGAATACACCGCAAACACGATACACGGCATCCATGTCGGGATCGAAAAACGTTTAATAAAAAGATGACTGAACGAAGAACGAATAATTAAAGTACCCCAATACGCAGCACGAAAATACCCCATTACAACCCATTACCCCCCTCTGTTTGGTTTTAACTTTTTTAGCCAGTGCTTCCACATCCAAGGATAAATGTCCCTAATATTGCCTCAATTTTCCACAAACTTTCTTCAAAGTGGAAACGCTTACAAGCATGATCCAATAAAAAGTATATGGTCAGAATTTCGCCTGTATGAAATAGAGCAGGCATTAAAATAGCGTGTCCTTGTACACACTTTGTGTCCTTGTAAAAGGCGAATGTGCCCTTGTAAATTGAAAAATGTGTACTTGAAAATATATTAAACTGAAAATGGCCAAAGATTTTGCAAATTCTGTTCTCAGTCTCAGAACTCTGGAAATGCCATTTCAGAGACCCGCTTAAAAGCTCGCGTCTTTGACGCTAAACTTGTGGTTTCGCCACTCGTTCAGTCGTTCTCGTGAGTCTGCGCATTTATACCAAAAATACGCCTCTGAAGGCAAAGTGTGTCCTTGTAAAAATTCAGTATTTTAATGTCTGAAATAGAGGTGTGCAAATCCGATTTGTTCGGATTTCCGAACCAAAATATTCATTTTGGATCGGATTGATAAAGTTGTTTCGTAGTTGGATCGGACTTTGATGTCCAATATAAAATGAATTAATTACTGTAATAAAGTAAAAAAAGCAATTTGTGGTTCCGGTTTCATATCGCGGTAGTCCCCCCCCCCCGTCCATAACACTTGTGACGTCAGGTACTTCCGGGCTTTGGGGGCGGGTTTTGGCGGGAAAATCTGTAATGTTTGGAGAATAGGCCGTGGGCTGTTGGCCAAAATTATTTCGCTTCGTGGCACCCATGTGGGAAATACTTGGTTTGGGGTTTATTTGAAAGGCATATAGGTACATCACTACCAAAAAGAGTTCCCAAGCAAAAAAGTTGCCCAATCCCGAGAAAATGGGTGATCAATGATTATCCTCTATTAAATTGTATTACAGCAAAAAAAATGGGAAATTCTGTATTCAATTACAATAAAAATTACTTGCATTATTGGAAAACGTACAAAAATCGCATATAAGAGTTTCAAACAGTTTTTTGATTTTTCAAATAGTCTTTGAGTTATTGCTGTTTTAAATGTGAAAATTGGACCAAAATGTCGCAATAAGGACTGGGTACTAGGTCAAAAAACAGCGTATAACTCGAAAACAATTTTAGATATCAAAAAACTGTTTAAATGTCTCGTATGTAGGTTTTTGTAAGCTTTCTGATAATGCAAGTCATTTTTGTTGTAATTGAATACAAAATTTTACATTTCCTTGCTGTAATACAATTTAATAGAGGATAATCACAGATCACCCATTTTCTCGGTGTTGGGCAAGTTTTTTGCTTGGGAACTTTTTGTGGTAATTAAGCATCTATGGTTCTGAACCACAGAAAATCTATTTCCCAGGAGGGTGCCACGAAATTGCTTTTCTAGGCACTTTTTCGCACAACAGCCCACGGCCTAGAAGACAAGATGGCGCTGGTAAGCTCGTGTTATATCAAAGGGCATTTTTGTTCACAAATACCCGCTTATTTTACGTTATAGCGACTGGTTCGTTTTGGAAATTATAACTCAATGGACAGGGAAAATGATTCTGTATTAAAGAGAAAAAGATGTGCAGTTATTGTGATGTTATTTGTTGTGAAAGACGGCCCGAAATTTCGCTACTTCGCTGTACTGGTTTATAAAACATTTACAAGCAACAGCAATTGAACTATATAAAGAAACCAATGTGTACAAGCCAATCAAGTTCTTCAGTTTAAAGGTCAGTTTATTTTTAATAATTAGTTCATGTAGTTATATATTAATACGAAGTACAGGACCATTCCATTTAATATCCACACCCTCCTGTTCACTAGATTTTCCGAAGGGGGTCTAAAATTTTGAATTTCTGAGGGTGTGCCAAGTTGAAATTTCCGAGGGGGTTTGTGAAAGGAAAATTTCTTAAGGTCTCAACATTTTTGTAATTTTCCAAGGAGTTAAAATTTTTTTTTAAATTTCTGAGGGGGGAGGAGGAAGGTATACCTGTTGACGAAAATTTCTGAGGGGGTGGTAAATAATTCCCAAAAATTACTGAGGGGTCTATCATAGTGGAACCACGTCAACAGTTATTTCTAAGGGCTTGAGAAAAATTGTAAATTTCGTCATTCCCCGACTGCATTCCAGGCCCCTCCCGCCAAAGATCTTTGGTGGGAAAAAACTTTACTGACTTTTGGCGGTGTATTTTGGCGTAAATTTTAGCTCATCACTATTTTTGGCGGCGTGCATTCTAGAAGAATGGCAGATCCACAAGCTGTATGTATCATTTGAATAATTAATGTTTGAATAATATTTCATTATTTTATTTAAATAAAGTACCTTTCTTTCTTAACTTCTTTATAACTTTTTCTACTTGCACTGTGCAATACAGCTTTAAAGTACTGACAATTGATTTGAATTAATGATATTACCCATACTTTCCTGCAACTTTTCCAAATATATAGTTGATTAAATACGCCTTCGGCCATTTAGTACTATGAAATTGTAAACAAATTGTAAATTTCGACTTACTAAAACGCTGTTTTCTGACCATCAGAATTCTATCAAATCTTCCCCAAAGTCCAGGAAATGGGATTTCAAAGGCTCGAAATTTAAAAATTTGCTCAATTGTTTTCAGCTCCACTCCCAATCAAAAACAACTTCCTACGGCATTATCAACATACAAATGTTCAGCATTCCCATAATTATATTGTTTATGAACTGTCTGTCGAAGTTGTCAATATAAGATGAGATTTTTGCACCTTTTTTATTTTTAAAATTTTTTTAAAGATGTGATTTTTGCACCTTTGGCGCATGTAATTTGACCGCTTTAGATATAATTAGTCTTTGGCGGATATAGTTTTAAAGCTGAATTTCTGGTGTGAATCTTTGGCGGTGAGAAAAGGTGGAATGCAGTCGGGTGTCATTCCAGAAAACATCCATATCACCCCCACAGAGGAAATAGGAAGTTAACCCCCCTACCCCAATTTTTTCTCCCCTCCCTCTCCAGATGGCAGAAATTTCCTCCGTGTGGGGCAGGCCTCAAATTTCCCTGAAATCAATCGACGGCAATGGCGTTAAAAATTGCCGTAGAACGTAACAGCTGTCTACGGCAATTTTGACAGTTTCCACGGCATTTTTCAAATTACTGTAATAAAACTTTAATTTTATTGTTACTTTGGATTTTTGACAAGCTAGAAACATGTCTACGTATTTCTTTAGTGTTTTTTTTTTCGAAGAAAACTGAGACTAAAATAGTGATTTACGCATGATTTGATCAACATCTGAATTCAAGTATCAAAATAGTAATGCACAGTGAATAGTATAAAAATTGCACTATACGGCAAAAAATTGCCGTCGTTGCCACAATGATCCACGGCATTTTGTTCTCCCTCTACGGCAATTGCCGCGATAAAATTCGAGCCCTGGTGTGAGGAGTATGGATCTTTTCTGGAACAACCCATTTCCGAGGGGGGCTTACAGAAAACCGTTTCTGAAGGGGTCTAAAATCAGAAACCTCGTCAACAGGGGGTGTGGATATTAAATGGAATGGCCCACTGGATGCTAGTAAAAACTTTTTAATAATTAGTTCATTTCGTTGTGTATTAATACAAAGTACTGGATACTAGATAAATAGTTCATTTAGTTGTATATTAATCTGAAGTACTCTACTACTCGTGTTGCCACGCATAACATTGAATTGACGTTATCACCGGTACCCACCTCAGATAACGTCGATCGTTACCCTGTCGTATTTTGACCGCTAAAAGAGCTCAAATGCAAAATGGCAGCTGAAATATGGTGTATAATCAATCAATTTATCTCAGAAATGCATTAAAATGCTGAGGCTTCAATTCAAAGTTATTCACTGTATTTGTACGTAATTGACCGGTATTTGACATGAAACGTCGCTTCGATACTTCAACCTTTGTTTTGGCCTCTATTAGTTGAAAATAGTATAATACTGGCAAAAGTGCACGGCAAGCATTAAATATTTAAACTTTGGTCTGTTTGGATGTAAATAGTCAAATTGCTACAAGATAATGTCGATTCTACGTAATGTGTGGCAACATGAATATGGACCTGGTCCCTTAGCGAGTTTGATTTGCTATTTGTATAAACAGACCACAACCCCTTCTCTAACCCTAACCAATGAATGTGTAATGAACTATTGAGAGTTAAAAAAGTCAGGTGGGATTTTAAAATATTTTAAGAAAAATTTCTATGGGGCTGAATATGGAAGCCGGTTGGCCCGCCAAACAAGACAGCTCGGTAAGCAGGATGAATTTTGCTTGCGTTTATATGAGGAGATTTTATGCCGCTTGCCAGGCTAGGAATTGTTTACATTTCACTCAATTGGTCGGTGTTGCCAGAACAAATTTCAAATTTTGTAAACATTACAGCTATTGAAGCACATTGCAACCTTTTGTTTTGTCTTTTTTACCTATGTAATGTCAAGAACTATAAAAATAGTTGCAGAAAAGACTTCAAACTATCGAAAATGTTTCATCCGAGCAACCGGGCCATCCCATTTGCTAGTGTTTATATGGGGAAATTTTCACCCTGGTTATCCATATAAATGCACAGGAATTTTACTATAAATTCTACTACACGGCGAGATCTTGCTAAGATGTAAGAAAAAAATACCTGTGGTTCCAGTTTCATATGGTGACAAAATTTATAGGGTCGGTAGATCGGAAATTTTTTTTTGAATATGATCCCCGACCTTGTTTCACTTTGCATGCATGCAACGCCTTTGCTGAATACACTACCAGCCTGAATTGCTGAAAGCTATTGCAAAAAACTATTTTATATTACTACTTTACAAAATGTAAGAACCTGACACCATCCCTGCGACTTTGTGTCATCTATCTAGACAGTATGATTATTGTATGCGACTTTTCCAACCGAGAGATATATTAGACCCTCTTTCTACTTTTTTTTTCACTTTGCCTTGGTCACACTTTGAACAAGAGGTGTGCCAATTTCGCTTTCTCTCATATCATTGTAGATGTCCGCCATTTTGAACTATTTTTTCATAAAAATATATTTAAAATATTTACAACTTTTTTGTGTTGCATACGACTGTCATAAGCAAGTTGTAGGGCTATCTATACGGCACAATTTGTGTCGCAGGGATGGTGTCAACAAGTTGCATACAACAATCGTCATGGGCGTACAGGAAGGAAAAAATAAGGGGGTGGAAAGAAATTTGCCCGACTTTGTCGATTGTGCCCGAGTTGTCAAAAAAAAATTTCCGGAGAAACTTTCCAAAATTGTTGTCGCTCCAATATTGTTTAGGTCCATTTTTTTAAGTATTTTATAAAGCGTATGCTATGTATGTGCTAAGAAGCTAGTTTTGTTGGCATGTGGAAAGCAAAAGTAGCGAAGGTAAAGAGATTAAAATTGGATTTAGTGCGTATTTTTGAAAAAATTTTACCACCAAATATGGTAGTCCCCCCCGTCGATGACACTTGTGACGTCAGGTACATACGGGACTTTGGGGGCGGGTTTTGGCGGGAAAATCTGTAATGTTTGGAGAAGACAAGATGGCGCTGGTTACCTCGTGTACTAGCGGCTAAATCGAGGAATGCACATTTGCCCGACGCCATCTTGAATTCCGCGCAATGACCTGGGTCTCAGTTATGATGTCATAGTATCTATCATGAATGATGTAATCAAAACAAACGTTTCGCGGGAAAATGAAAATATTGGATTCTGATTGGATAATTGTCACTCGCACATGCCTAAATACTAAATTGTTATGTATATAAATAAAGCTAGTTTACAGCAGCAAAAATCACAATAAATACACTTTTGATGCTTTTAAATCATAAATAATCATATTATAATGACTTATTTTAGCTTTTGATTTCATATAAAGGAAAATAAACTGATCGAAAATACAAAATAACAGCATTTCGCGTATCGATATTTTTCACAGTGATTTGTATGCATTAATCGACACTTAGTCTCTGGCACGCAAATTTACTTTCGTATAGTGAGCACATAGTTGTGTGCACGGTAGATGGAAATTCCGAAAATACCCTTCGATTCTGCATGAAATTCTATATCAACAGCCCTGGTTTTCCTTTTCCATTCAAAAACTGAACCGAGATATTCGCCCTTTAATACTCTAAAACTCGAGTCTTTATCCTACTATATGAATTTGTGTACACAGTAGATGGAAAATCGGAGAACACCATTGAATTCGCCATAAAAATCAGCATCTTTTCATAGTAAATATCTCTAGTCAATTTAATAAAGAAAACTTTTTATCGCGTGTTTACTTCCCAGCTGATAATAGAAATGAACTACGGATGTAGACAAAGGATACAGGAGCACTTTAATGGATAACCATTTTACTAATTCATCATTATCATAAGATAACCACAGATGTCCCCAGTTAATAATGATTCAAGATGGCGTCGGGCAAATGTGCATTCCTCGATTTAGCCGCATGTACCTCGTGTCATATCAAAGGGCATTTTTGTTCACAAATACCCGCTTATTTTACGTTATAGCGACTGGTTCGTTTTGGAAATTATAACTCAATGGACGGGGAAAATGATTCTGTATTAAAGAGAAAATGATGTGCAGTTATTGTGATGTTATTTGTTGTGAAAGACGGCCCGAAATTTCGCTACTTCGCAGTACTGGTTTATAAAACATTTACAAGCAACAGCAGTTGAACTATATGACAAAGAAACCAATGTATACAAGCCAATCAAGTTCTTCAGTTTAAAGGTCTGTTTACTTTTTAATAATTAGTTCATTTAGTTGTACATTAATACAGAGATGTGAACCCTAAGTTACAAAAATGCGGGTGATATATAATTTTTGACATGACGTCATTTTTTGTTGTTGAGAAAATTGATTGGTGATTTATAAAAGCCTTGCTAAGCCCCATATTTCTAACTTCCATAGATATTTATATTCTTGTTTATGACAAAACAGATGTATACAAACGTCTTAAGAGTTAAGTCTAGTTGAAGTAGATGTGCGCATGCATACACTCTACCAACCAAAAACAGAACAACGAATCAAGAATCAGAAGACAGAATCACAGAATGCGGGTGAATTGCTATAAAATTTGCTAATGCGGGTGATTTTATGTGCCAATTTTTCCGTGTGTGATGATTCCAAAATGCGGGTGTCACCCACTCAATGCGGGTGAGTTCACATATCTGATTAATACGAAGTACTGGAACAGTACGCCTAATCACAGAATAGGAAGGTATACCGTATTTACTCGTTTAAGCGCCGCGGCGCTCTTTAAATTTTCAAAGCTTCAGATGTGGCGCTCATTCGGGGGCGGCGGTCAATCGGGGGCGGCGCTCTTTAAAAAATATTTTATTTGTGAATTATGACAAGAACTTTTAACTATAAAATAGACAAGTTTTAAAAGGTTTTTGTTACCATATGTCCCCATTTTGACACTGCTTAGGGCGGCGCTCTTTTAAAAAAAATGATCTCAAATGTGGCGCTCATTCGGGGGCGGCGCTCAATCGGGGGCGGCGCTCAAACGAGTAAATACGGTACCCATTGAACTAAAAATAACTGGAACGATACCTCCAGCTGGAAATGTGAAGCCATGCCCACTGTTGTCATGCCCAGTCTTTTCACGTAACGGAAATGAACGCGGGTTTTTTAAATTTCCAAAACTGGGTAAAAAATGCACTAAAACATTTAAAACGACGTAAAATGCACCTACCAGTACATTTTTTACAATAAAAACATCCTTCAAAACTCTAGAGTAAAATATTTTTAATTTATTTGTGTAGAATTCATAATTAAATTTCCTTTTTTGAAAAAAAACGTTGAGCGAGGAGTGGAGCTTGCCGTACTTTAATCATAAGTATTTGTGTGAATTTCCCTATTTTGCTCATTCGTTTTCCAATTTATTCGTCTGAAAGTTAGGAAAAAAGGTATTCTAACAAGATCAAACTACCAACCACAGTTTAATTATGTTTTGTAGTAGAGTATTTATTAAGTTTTAAAGGTACAAAATAACAAATATAAACATTAACTCTTTCCTGTCACGACCCTATAAACGCAATACACTGCTGTAATACGACTTTGCAGATTCATATCTTCGGTTCGGTGCATGCTATGTAGATGAAAATATCACCATTCGATTCAGCGTGTCGAAATCTCCTAGTTCCTAACGATAGATTTAGTCGATGTCAAGATTATCACAATTTATGGCCTTTGGAAGTCAAGCGAGATTGTATATTATCAAATTACGCAATTGTCTGAACAACAATGTAGACGTTTATAAAACATTTACAAGCAACAGCAATTGAACTATATAAAGAAACCAATGTGTACAAGCCAATCAAGTTCTTCAGTTTAAAGGTCAGTTTATTTTTAATAATTAGTTCATGTAGTTATATATTAATACGAAGTACAGGACCATTCCATTTAATATCCACACCCTCCTGTTCACTAGATTTTCCGAAGGGGGTCTAAAATTTTGAATTTCTGAGGGTGTGCCAAGTTGAAATTTCCGAGGGGGTTTGTGAAAGGAAAATTTCTTAAGGTCTCAACATTTTTGTAATTTTCCAAGGAGTTAAA